AGTTTTGAACATGCTGATCTGAGTTGTTGGTATATATTCAAATAGAAAGGCTACAGACTTGAAAATTTGGAATTGAAGTTCAAGTGAAAGTCAGGGCTCATGTTATATTTTTAAGAAGCACTGAAGAGAGTGGGAATAGTCAAAGTTCTAGGAGTAAAAGCTACAGTAAACACTGAAAATGGATGTGATTAGTTTGCTTACTAATAGGCAAATATTTGATTGTAAATTTGCATTTCTTCAGGCTTTAAGCTAAGTTTATAAATCTGTTAGTCTATAAATCTCACAATCTTTGCATAAAATTATGGACAATCATTTTCACTTATTCTCTATGATCTAATTAATTCACAAATTTAACAGACTATTTAACTACCTTAACATCATTTGCATATTCAACAAATCAAATTTTCTTAGATATTTTAAACTATAGGTACAAATGTAACATCTAGCCAGTGAAATCCTTATAAGCACTTATGTAAATCTTGTAAATACCAATAAATCAATCTCATACATGTGGTCACAAAATTCTCTTAAATGTTTCATACATCTTAAAAGTTGATGAAGCACACACCACCACAATAACTTTCACAGAAATAATGTAAACTAGACTATTTTACCCACTTTATGTTAAAGGTTACACACTGTGGTAGGCGTGGAGATTCTTCACTCAAACCCTTCAAGAAAGGACTTGCTGCCCTGCTCAGGGGCCTGGGAGTGTGATCAGCAGCTGGCCCCCAGCTGTCAGCTCATTTAGGTTTCACCTCAGCTCGCTCCTGCCCTTCCCAGAGCAGCCCACAGACATATGCTGGGGGATGGAGGCGTGTACAGGGCAGGGTTGGGACACCGACCTACAGCAGTGGCTGCAGGGCTGCCTGTCTTATCATCTGCTCTGTCAAACCCAACTGCACTGCAAACCAGTGTGAACAGATGTGCCATCTCAGAACTCTTACAACAACGAGGCTGCCAGTTTGGGGCATCAGTCAAAATTTTTGTCACTGCTTCCAGTGATGATTTCACTTGACCCCAGGTAACAGAACCATGTTCCTTTCTAACAAAGAGGCACTACTTATGCTTATTCAATATATTGCTGTAATAATATTCACAGTAGTTTAATGCCTAATACTACACATGTGCACCCACGCTTGTGCACATGTGCACACACATACACACACACCCTACCCAGTCACATGGCTTGTAATTCCCACAACTAGCATTTCACCTAATCTATGTTCTACCACCAATTAGCTTTGGGACCGTCAGCAAATTATTTACTACTCTGTGCTCAATTTCCTTATCAGTAAAACAGGAACAATCATCTGATAGGTTTTTTTTGTGAAGAGTAACCGAGTTAATACACTGAAAAAGTGTAGAACAGCTTGTGGCCCATACTGTGTATTCAATAAATGCTATCATCACTACCTGTCTGAATTCCACATTGTCTATATATTTTCTTTTCTTATCTGTCTCATCAACCAACATTCTATAATTTATTGACTAAGCAAATACAGAAGGAGTTCTGTTCCAAGCCCCTTAATTATCAGACTCTTCAGATTTTTAGGACCTAGGTTACCTAGACTTGAGTTAAACTTGTTTAAGCACTATTCTTCCCATCAGTTCAATGTTTTGCATTTTCCCTTCTTCGAGATGTAAACCAGATGTGTGAAGATGGAGCATATATGTAAAAGTTTTTTCTGAAATATAAAACATATGAAAATATGGGATAGTATTCCAACATTATGAAACTAGACAACTACAATTACAAAATGAAATTCTTTGCTGTTCAAGTAAAACTGCACCCCCTTGGCCAAAATGATTTCCACCCTTGTGGTTAAAGCTCACGTGAAACTGATTTAATAAAAATGATACATCTGAATAGCTTATTCTGAAGAAGTTGAAATGGCTTTAAAACATTTAGGACCAAATGTTGGCTTCTGTTATCAGCCAATTTCTAGGAAATCATCTATGCAGTCCTAACCTATGTTAAGAGTTAGGCTTCTTTCAATGTCTGAGATTTGTTTACATTTCGAAGCAGCATTTATGTAAACAAAAGCTGCCCTAGCTTTTCATAAGTTGGGTGCTTTTTGGTGACAGTGCCTAAAAAATACCAATTTTCAGTTAGTTATTTCCATGGGGCTTCAGAAAAATAAAATATTGCAAACAATGAGCCCTGCTGTTTAATGTTACTCCCACTTTAACAAATTACCCTCAAGAAGGGTATATACTAAGAAGACAGTTTGGAAAAACCGACTCCGGGTCTCCACGACGGATCTCCACAAAATGGAAACACGGCCCCAAGCCTGATGCTGTGCTGTCTCTAAGAAAAGGGGATGGACGTAGCAGAACGATGCTTCAAACACCCGAATGCTGCAGCTGGCAAAAGGAGTATTCCACAGGGCTGGCCGTTTGGCGCAGGCGGCCGGGCATTCCTCAGGGGGGTTGCTACAAGTGAGCGGCCAAGACAGCAAGCGGACTCTCCCGTTGACACTGCGGAGGCGCCGCTATCCTTACTTCCTCCTACACAGCAACTCCCCGACCCCCTAGGGGGTCATCCGAGACCCCAGGCTGGGGTGGCGCCCCGCTAAGCATCAGGGTCAACTCTCGGCCGGGCCGCGGGGACCCCTGCCAAGCCAACGTTGGAGAGGAGCGAGGAGGGAGGTGGCGTTTTCTGCCCTGATTCCGGGGGGACAACCAGGAAGAGGACGCGGTTGCGTAACCAGGGCCTGGGGTGAGGTTCAGGGAACAAAGAGGTCGTGAAAGCGCATACAGCCGGGGCTCTGAGAATCCACACAAATCGTCGCCTGGAGAGAGCCAATGGGTCGGCAGATTTCTGCGATCCGGTCCAGCCCGGCCCTACAGCATCACAAACTCTAAGAGCACGCAGGAATCTGCATCATAAACAAACGCCTGGCCGACTCCGGCCCAGGGAAGTTTGAAAACAAACGCTTCGTGTCTGGCACCGGGTGGGCCAGAAGCTCCGACGAATCCAGCGCAGCGGCTACGACCGGGCCGTGACTCAACCGAACTTGGTCCTTTCCTTCGGTCCCACCCCGCTGCTTAGCGTGGATAGGTGGCTGGGAGCAACTCTGGCGCTGATTGGGCGGCGGCGGAGTCGCTCGCGAGGACTGTACGTTCGGGTGCCCCGGAGTGCTAAATTTATCTTCAGACAGGCGACCGCTCCAGCCGCGAATCGGATCTCGGTGGAGGTGGCATAGGCGATATCCCAGAGCTGAGACATCACCCTGTCCCCGAATCCTTCTGTCCTCTGTTTGTTTTTCATCCCCCGCTTCCCCCTCCAGTCCGCGACGACTGGCTCTTGACCCCGTTCAGGCCTCGGTGAAGGTGAGGACCGGAGCTGCCGCGGCGGCTGAGTAGTGCGCTCTGAAATGGCCGCTGCCGTGAGGTGTCCAAAATGGCGGCCGCAGGCTCAGCTGGGGACCGCGGCGCTGCTCTGCAGCCCAGCCGCAGCGAAGGCCGCTCTCTCTGTCACTGATGGAGTTGAAGTAAAAGGATGGTGTTGGGTGCTGCGACATTTTCCTGTTGCTAGCGAGAGAGTCCTGTAGACAAGGGTGGGCTGCGACAGAAAGTGAGCCCCACATAGCGCGGGCAGCGGGCAGCGCGCACCGGTGACAGGATCTGAGGGATAGCTGGCCCGGGCAGCACATCCAATTGACCGTGTAAGAAAGCATTTAGGCGCTGGAAGGGGAGTCCGTAACCTCCTCCTGACTGGACTGCAGTCCTACCCGACCCTCCTGCCTCTGGGGGTATTGTTCAAAATTGGAACTGCCTGAGGGGGAGGGTGAACGGATTGTATTGCCTGTCAGTTTAACCGGAAGAGGCCAAAGAAGAGGGTTCCCGTCCCCGCTTCCCTCTTCAGAGAAGGGAATGAATAGAAACTTTAGTCTCTAGGGAGTCTAGACTCCTTGTTCTTGAGAGATTCGGGGAAGCACCTCTGACGAGGTGGGGATGAAACCGTCCTTCCTGAAAACAGAGCCTCCTCTTCCATTATGTTCTCTGGCAGCAAGGAAGAGGGATCCTAATCTTTGTGGTCAGCCAGCAGCGCCTTGAAGTTCCCTGCTGCTAAACCCAAATTGGGATTGTGAAAGGAAAATCTAATGCTCTTTTGCTCCCAATAATGAAGTAGGCATTTCTGCTGCTGCCAATTTAAGACCCTTGACGTTGTGTTGGTTGTAACTCATTATAATCCATTTCTTTCTGCACTGCCCATTAATGCTTGGGAAATTTTAAGAGTTTTAAGGAACACACGAGTAATGGCAAAGCACGTGGGATCTGCAGTCGAACTTTTTGGGGTTTCTTCGTAGTTTTTCACTTAAAAGATGTGTTAATTTAGCAGGTGATTTAACTTCTGTGAATCCCTCAAGTGGGATTATTAGTAGTCCCTGGAGTTATTAATAGACTCAGGTTTGCTGTGAGGATTAAATGAGATAATATTAATTCTTCCTATAACAGTGATCACTCAGTAAACATTGGTAACATTAGGAGATTGGTTATTGAGGGGGAAAAAATGGTTGTAGCAAAAAGGCATACTTCTTGTAACACTTCCCTGTGTTACATTTGGAATTACTTTCAATGCATAGTTTTAAAGACAGTAAGATGTGGAAGTTAGCTTTAATTTTTGAAGGTTTTTAATGTATTTCTATCAAGTCGGTGGATGGAGGAGCATCTCAAAACAATGAAATTACCAGGATATTAAAAGGACAAAAATACTAGCATTTTTACTGTGTTTGGCATCTTCTGTTTCATTTCAAGGTCTGCATTGCAGTGAAGAATAATTTGCACTGCCTCAACCTAAAATAAATTGTACTGAAAGGGCGTTTTAAGGTTTGTAGTTGGTTCTGCTTTTGCAGTGTCTAATTTTAATTTTTCTCATTCTAGGCTTTTGGTTACTCCCCTTCCACCCCATACCTTAATTTTATTCTTTTGAAGAGTCTGCATTTCAAGCTGCCAAGGTGGAGAGTGTGATTGCAGAAGAGAGTACTCCTCATTTCAGGTATCTTACCCTCTAGCTGTTAGTAGGAAAACCATTTTGATTCAGGATCTAACATGAAATACAAAGCTTACTCTGTAGCCAAATCATAGAAGTTTAAATTAAAAGCAGATATATTTAAATAGACAGTTAAGTTGTATGCCATATCTTAAAAAGCTAGGAGTATTCTTTGAAGGTCTTAAAATTTGCATTACCCTTCCTTTTAATTATGCTTTTCTTTTTTTTATCACTATATGAGAAATAAACCTATTAAAATGAGAGTTTAGATTTTCTTTAGGTCCTGGTTAAGTCTTTACCTATAGTATCCTGGGATACAGAGTAATCGGTAAATTGTACATTACTATGAATGAGTCTTAACTTGAGTAATATAAATATTTATGTAACTTTAACTCTAGAGAAATAGTAGTTAACTTTTGATCTACAGTTTATTTTTCAGTGTTAACATACCGTATTTAGGTTAAAACAGAATTCTGTGTCTTGTGAAACTTTGAACTATGTTTGTGTATTTTTAATATATAACTCATCAAATAATTGCTAGTCCTGAAAGAAGGCTTCAGATGTATAGTGGTATCTGTGATGAATGTATCCAACAGCAGTAGGCATCAGAAAACTAAAAGAGATTCTAAAATAGAATATACCAGAAGGGGTTGGTAAATTATGGCCTATGTTGTCTGTTTTTGTAAATAGAAATGTGTTAAAACACAACTGTATCCATTCTTTTACATGTTGTCCATGGCTGCTGCCATGCAACAACTACAGAGTAGAGTAGTTGCAACAGAGACTACATGGCCCATAAAATAAAAAATATTTACTATATGGCCCTTTTCAGAAAAAATTTGCCAACCTGCCATGGGACATACTCCTCAAGATCCCTTCCTTAAAAATACACTTTTCAACTCTTCATTATTCTTAGCCCAATGTGTTTTATAGAATATTAATATTCTATAAGTTAATAAGTGTTCTGAGAAAAAGATCAATACTAACAATAGTTTTTCTTTATAGTTTATCTTAAAATATAAGTTTAAGACTACTAAACTCATTTCTATAGCTTTTATTTTTATGTGATAATCTACCTTTAAGAAAAGGTGTGCCACACCTGAGAGCACCAGGAAGTCGCATGAGAGATCATCTGATACACGAACGTGTGATGTTCCATCTGCGCATTGATGCATAGGCAGCATTTACAAATTAACTCATGTGTTGCTATATGTCATCTCTTTGATGATTGCTCATCTTCTATGTATCCTGTCTTATAATTCAACACACTTGTAATAACTCAATGTTTATTCTAAATTAACCATGTTTTGTACCAAAAACACATTGCCTATGGATCTGTTGCTGAAACAAGGAAGTCTTAAACAAGAAGTAGAATCTTTTTGTTATCAAATTGTATCTGAATCAAGTGATCAAAAGGTTGGAATATTACAAAGTGAAGATGAACAGTTGCAGCCTTCAGTTTCTAAAAAATCAGACGGTGAGCTTCCCAGGGTCAAATTTATGTCCAATTCCAACAAAATAACATTTAGTAAGAAACCAAAAAGAAGAAAATATGATGAAAGTTATTTGTCTTTTGGATTTACTTACTTTGGAAATAGAGATGCACCTCATGCTCAGTGTGTGTTATGTAAGAAAATTTTGTCAAATAGCTCTTTGGCCCCTAGTAAGCTTCGAAGACATTTGGAAACTAAACATGCTGCATATAAAGACAAAGACATAAGCTTTTTCAAGCAACATCTTGATTCACCTGAAAACAGTAAACCCCCAACACCTAAAATTGTCAATACAGATAATGAAAGTGCTACAGAGGCATCATACAATGTAAGTTATCATATAGCCCTGAGTGGAGAGGCTCATACTATTGGAGAATTGCTTATCAAGCCTTGTGCAAAAGACGTTGTGATGCGGATGTTTGACGAACAATATAGTAAAAAAATAGATGCAGTACAGCTATCAAACAGTACTGTTGCACGTCGAATTAAGGATCTAGCTGCTGACATTGAAGAAGAGCTAGTTTGTAGACTGAAAATTTGTGATGGGTTTTCACTGCAACTAGATGAATCAGCTGATGTTTCAGGACTTGCTGTGCTACTTGTGTTTGTTCGTTACAGGTTTAATAAGTCTATTGAGGAAGACCTACTCTTATGTGAGTCTTTGCAGAGTAATGCTACTGGTGAAGAAATTTTCAACTGCATCAACAGTTTTATGCAGAAACATGAAATTGAATGGGAAAAATGTGTTGATGTTTGTAGTGACGCTTCTCGGGCAATGGATGGGAAAATTGCTGAGGCTGTCAACTTGATAAAATATGTGGCTCCTGAAAGCACCAGTAGTCACTGCCTATTATATAGACATGCACTAGCAATTAAAATAATGCCTACATCTCTGAAAAATGTGTTAGATCAGGCAGTACAAATCATCAATTACATTAAAGCTCGACCACATCAGTCCAGACTACTAAAAATTTTGTGTGAGGAAATGGGTGCCCAGCACACAGCACTCCTTCTAAATACAGAGGTGAGGTGGCTTTCCCGAGGTAAAGTTCTTGTAAGACTTTTTGAGCTTCGTCGTGAACTGTTGGTTTTCATGGATTCTGCTTTTCGACTGTCTGATTGTTTAACAAATTCATCTTGGCTGCTAAGACTTGCATATCTTGCAGACATTTTTACTAAATTAAATGAGGTTAATCTGTCAATGCAAGGAAAAAATGTGACAGTTTTTACAGTATTTGATAAAATGTCATCATTGTTAAGAAAACTGGAATTTTGGGCCTCATCTGTAGAAGAAGAGAACTTTGATTGTTTTCCTACACTCAGTGACTTTTTGACGGAAATTAATTCTACAGTTGATAAAGATATTTGCAGTGCCATTGTGCAGCACCTAAGGGGTTTGCGCTCTACTCTGTTAAAATATTTCCCAGTAACTAATGATAATAATGCTTGGGTTAGAAATCCATTTACAATAACTGTTAAACCAGCCTCATTAGTAGCACGGGACTATGAGAGCCTGATTGATTTAACATCTGACTCTCAAGTGAAACAAAATTTCAGTGAACTTTCACTAAATGATTTTTGGAGTAGCCTAATTCAAGAATACCCAGTCATTGCGAGGCGTGCTGTTCGTGTACTGCTTCCCTTTGCTACAATGCACCTGTGTGAAACAGGATTTTCATATTACGCTGCAACAAAAACGAAATACAGGAAAAGACTTGATGCTGCACCTCATATGCGGATTCGACTTAGCAACATTACACCTAATATTAAGCGGATATGTGATAAAAAGACACAAAAACACTGTTCTCATTAAAATCAAGGTTTTGCATGTCTCTTGATAACCAAGTATGGGATGAAAATAAAAGATGATATACTTCATCTCTGGTACTTTGGGGTTTTAAATAAAGAGATTCAAGTTTTTTATACTTAGACTTAGACTTTAAGAGAACTAAAGAATCACAAATTTAAATATATATTATTGTTGGTATTTCTTAACATTGTAATTTCAAAGGGTACCATGGTCATAACTGGAAAATGTTCATCCACAAGATAAAGCCCCAGTTCCTTAGCATATTGTATATCTTGAACATCTAATCACTATCAGCCTTTCTAGCTATGCAGCCCTCCAGTCACATGGAACTTCTTGCCATTCTCTAAACACATCACACTATTTTATGCTTTCAGGTCTCAAAAAACTATTCCCCTTCTTGCTTCCAACAAACTCCCATTTGCTTTTCAACACTTTGTAATTTATCTTCAGTACTTTCATTCTCTATCTCTTTTTATTTTGCCTCTATTTTTTATGTCTGTCTCAGAGATGTGAACTGCTTGGTGTTCTCATGATTCCCAGTTTTTGGACTGAAGTCTTACTGGTTCTATTCCACCTCTATGTCTTCATGATCTGGAAAAGGCATTATTAAAGTAAATGCTCAAGAAAGGAAAAATGTTGATGGTGGACCAACAAAAAATAGAATAGAACATGATAGTTTCTATTTTTATATTCTGCTTGTGTACAGAATGCTACCCATTATGTTTTTGGCTCAGTTATTCTGTTACCTAGAATTCAGTAAAGATGTTAAGCAGAAGTCACTAAGGAATGTCATAGCTTTAATTCAAGCTGAATTATTGGGGGACAGCAGAGAAAGTATGAAGAACATTTTCAGATACATTCTTTGTTTCTCAGTTCATATATAGATTATTGCAAATTCTAATATTGTAGTCTAAATTATTAAGGCTTTCCTGTACATTAAGATGATTGGTTTTGAAACCCACATCAATTTGTTAGAATACTAAGAATTCTGATCAGCTTGCCTATCTCCAGGCTTTTCTTCCCATGTCATATCACAAAACACAGGTCACTAACTCAGTATTAAATATTTTGTGTTGCCTCTGTAGTCAAGAGCTACTGTAAGTAACCATTATTTATTCATCTCATGTATTCAAACCTAGCTCCCATTTGGGGGAGTAGGAGTACCTCTTACTAAGGCAGAGTGTGATAGAATGACTAGATTGAGGTATCTGCTCCACTTCTTAACTAGCTATTTAACATTGGGCAATTTGAGCCTTCGTGCGCCTCAGTTATCTGTAATAAAATTACAATCATGCCCTTTAAGAGTTATTAAGATTAAATGAGTATGTATATGAAAGTCCAAACAGTGGAAATAGGAGTAGATACTCGACATACATTAGCTCTCTACTATATCCAACCATGTCCCATTTATGCTTCACTCCACACACATACTTCTAATGTGAGTCTTTATTTGTGGAGACTCAGTAGTTCTCCAGGCCATAGGACCTGACCTAGTCTGATGCAGTAAGATTAAGCAGTTCTAGCCCAGGTTTTTTCCCCTTTGTCACATTATTAAGCACCTATTTATCTGTCAGGTACTTTACTAGATGCTTGTATGTTACTAATCTTTACAGCAATCCTATGGAATTATGTAATTTTTGAATTTGCCCAAGGTCACACAGTAAGTAGCAGAACCTAGTTTAAAACAGATCTTTTCCAGAGTGATTTTTGCAGGCATTGCCTTTCAAACTTGCAAGAGCATCAGTGACTTGGTAGTATAGCTAAAACTCTACTAAAATTGGGAGATTTCTTTGAAATCCTGTTTTCTCTAGATGCAGCCAAAGTTAGCTATCTACTTCAAAGTATAACTGATTATTTTAATATAAAAATATGTAAAAATAAGTATTGAATTGCTATCAAAAATTATCTAAAAAGGTTCAACATAATTACTCATATATGCAGTACTTCTTTTTGACTAATCCTGAAATTAAATTTACCCTAATTTGAGAAGCATATACAATTCTGTCATGTCTACATCTGGCTGATACCTGAAGTCTGAAGACTAAACTCACATAATTACTGAACTGAGCCCTTGATTAGGTCATCTGTTCAGGATGTCGACCTCTTGAGACCTCTCTTGCTTTCCAGTCCTTTACCCTTAACCACCTTCTCTGAAAGACTAGATTCCTGCTTTAAATCCAAGTCTACTGACTGGGATCCTGTTGTCTGCTACTAGATAACTTTAATGCCAACACTACCCAGCTTGGTTCTGATACCAACTACTCACCTGTTCTATAATCTATTGGGACTAACCTATGGATACCATGTATGGATAGTGGAAATGATTTTTTAGAGCCTGAAGGTGGGTCTGGCACCTGTTGGATGATAGGCATTATCAGTCCAGAACAGAAAATTCTGTGTTACCCTATCCTACTGTAGTTACCATGACTGAACTCAAAAGAAGGTTCTTTATGTTTAACTACCCTTCAGAATTGACTTTCCTTAAATAAAACCAAAACAAAGTCTTCAACACTCTTAGGTTCCTTTTCTCTTATACTTCTAAAGCTCTTTGATTACCCTTCTGCCAGTACTCCCTAAGGCTCCAAATATTAGAGAATCTATCGAGCTAGAGGGAAGCCTGTGACAAACCACTTCACACAGAAAAGAACTTAGAGGAAGAAATGGGTGGCATTCAACTTCATAAGGGAGAGACAGCTGGGGACTAAGAAATACTCTTACTCACCCTCAGATGAAAGCTACACTTCCTGCCTGTGCATGAAACAGTAAAGTTCCCCTAATATGTCCAGCCCCAAAGAACTTTCCCACCTTTAATCCCTGTATTTCAAATAGGAATTGCCTTGATTTCTTAAATGAGGATTGTTCCTCTATCAATCTTACAATACCACACATACATAAATATATAAATTGTAATCTTCTGTAACTACACTTCTTTAGGATCATTCATAGGACTGCAAATTTCTAATCATACAAAAAGTGATCAATGATGATACCTTAATTTAAAAAAGTGATTAATTCTCTAGTTTAAAAGGTAGAGTATTAAGGGGAAATACAATTCATACTGTAACATAAGAATTAGCTTTAAAATCCCAAGCTTCATTTAAACAGATTAGGTGGTAGCTATTCTTTGCCTTTTAAAGACGTCAAAAGCTGCATTTATTTTTTTACTGAATTATAGTTGATTTTTCTTGTATTGAATAGCAGCATTTCTTTAATAAGCTCCTCTGTTATCTTAGGCAGTTTTATTCCCCAAAATATAATTCACCTACCCTCTTGAAAGAATTGATCAGCTATGTAAATCTGGTTGCCTGTGGAACTTAAGCATGTTTATTACTTTTGTTTTTTAAAGTAGGTATAACCACTGTTAATTAGCACAATGGAAAAAAACTGAAGTGTCAGGAGACTTGGGTTCTGTAACTAATTGTGTTAGACATCTAAGTTCATCCTCCCTTGGCCTTAGTTTCTTCACTTAGTTAAACTAAAATGAGCTATAAAGTCCTCGTCAAATAAGATAAAAACTAAAACCTAAAAGATTAGGGAGATGATAAGGTATGCTCAGATTTTTTAAATACATGTATTTTTCCTAGCAGCCAAGCATTTCCAATGAAGTCTTATCATAATACTTTCCACCAACAAAATGATAATGTTAATAAACTACCCATCATGGATGCTTATTGGATGGAAGGTATGAAGTCCTTTTTTGGAAGGAGATGTACTTTGAAATTTAGAAAACATTAGAAAGACTAAAATATGTTTGGTTAATGACCCTATTGACGTCCACTACAGATTAAATCATAACTAAAGTGGTGGGCAGGCTGCAGTGGAAATTGCTGACTACATCCCAGCATCTGTTTTTTTCCTCTCCCAAATTGTACCAACATTCTTTCAGGTATCCATTGTTCCCCTACATAATCCATGTACTTAAGCAAAAACTGACCCCACCCCACTCCAGTTTTGGGATTGAAACTTTTGTTTAAGATAGTAGTTTCAAAGTTGTTTTACTCCAATTCACAAGAAGAAACATCTTACATTATAATCCAGGTGTGTATATGTGTGAGTACTAAAGTTTCATAAAACAGTACTAACCCTTCATATGTGCAATGCAATCTCCAATCTATTTAATTTTTAAAATGATGATTAGGACACAAAGATTAATTTCATGACCCATCCACCATTTGAAAAACTGGTTAGCTATCTACTTTCCCTTCCATTCTTTCACCTTTATTATCAAAGCCTCAACATTCATTTGCCATTGCCCTTACAAAAATTGTTCAGGAACCTAGATCTAAGCCTATTAAGGTATAGTATTACTGTGGCCACAATTGGGCCAGAATAATACGTGACTCAATACAAGCTAGTGAAAACAAGCAGTATTATAGATGCTTTGAGAAAGACATTTCTTTGCTCTTAAGAGAGAAATGTCCTGTGTACTTGGGAGGCTGGAATTGCTGAATCTCTCAAGCTACTAGCATGGAGATAAAGTCAACAGGAGAGGGCAGAAAACCAAAAAATGAGTGAGAAAATAAAGCTCTGACTGAATCAGTTCATCACTATCCTGTCTTTAATTTTTTTTGTTACCTAAGCCAATAAATACTGTTCATTGTTTAAGACAGTTTACATTGGGGGTTTCTATTACCATAGGCAAAATCATCTTAAATAATATAGTGGTCTAAAAGGAAAGCAATATAAAAACTAGAATTTATTGGTAAACTTAACTTTCAATGATGAAATGAGTGCCATTCCAAACTTAGTCTGATCTCTGTTTATTCACCCATCTACCATACTGTTAACATTCAAAACTTTGCCACTGCTAATACTTTATAGACCAGAAGCTAAATCACCAGATATATTGACATCATTAGGAATCATCAAATGCCATTTATTTCTGTTAGTGAACAGTTTGATAATAAATGGATTTTACTTATTAGCTTAGGCTAGGCTAATGATAATTAGGGTGTATAATTCAAATTAGAAGTTAACCTTGAAAACAAATGTCCTCATTTTTCTTATAATTTGTTCAAACCCTGATAAATATGATGGAATAAAAAAAGTTTAATAAGTCATGTGTTTT